ACACAATGTATTTGTACCACATGTGTAATCATACATGTACCTAGGGTAATGATGTTCATCTCATTTCACCATTGTTCCTGCCCCCATGTTCTCTCCTCTTCTCTCTCTCCCTTTTGCAAAATCAAAGTTCCTCCATGTACCCCCACCCCCATTATGCATCAGCACCCACTTATCAGAAAGAACCTTCAGCCTTTGGCTTTTGGGGGGTTTGGCTTACTTTGTTTAGCATGATATTCTCCAACTCCATCTATTTACCTGCAAATGCCATAATTATATTCTCTTTTAATGCTGAGTAATATTCAATTGTGTATATGTACCACAGTTTCTTTATCCTTTAATCTGTTGAAGGGCATCTAAGTTGGTTCCACAGTTTATTGTGAATTGAGCTGCTATGAACATTGATGTGACTGCGTCACTATAGTATGCTGATTTTTAAGTCCTTTGGGTATAGACTAAGAAGTGGGATAGCTGGGTCAAATGGGGTTCCATTCCAAGTTTTCTAAGGAATCTCCATACTGCTTTACATAGTGGTTGCACCAATTTGCAGTCCCCCCAGCATCCTCACCAACACTTATTATTGCTTGTATTCTTTATAATTGCCATTCTAAGTGGAGTGAGATGAAAATGTAGTTTTAATTTGCATTTAATTTACATGAACATTTTTTCATATATTTTTGTATGTTTTCATATATTTGCATGAACATTTTTTCATATATTTGTTGATCAATTGTATATCTTCTTCTGAGAAGTGTCTGTTCAGTTCCTTAGCCCACTTATTGATTGGGTTATCTATATTTTTAGCGTTAAGTTTTTTGAGTACTTTTATATATCTTGGAGATTAGTGTTCTATCTGATGTGTGTGTAGTAAAGATGTTCTCCCACTCTTTGGGTACCCTCTTCACATTATTGATTGTTTCCTCTGCTGAGAAGAAGCTTTTTAGTTTGAATCCATCCCATGTATTAATTTGTGGTTTTATTTCTTGCATTTTAGGAGTATGGTTAAGGAAGTCAGAACTTAATCTGACATAATGAAGATTTGGGCCTACTTTTTTTTCTAATAGGTACAGGGTCTCTGATCTAATTCCTAGGTCTTTGATCCACTTTGAGTTGTGTTTTGTGTATGGTGAGACATAGGTGTTTAATTTCATTTTGCTGCATATGGATTTTCAGTTTTCCCAGCACCTAGTTAAGAGTGCTATCTTTTATCCAATGTATGTTTTCAGTACCTTTGTCTAGTGTGAGATAACTATATTTATGTGGGTGTGTCTCTGTGTCTTCTATTCTGTACCCTTGCTGGGTCACCTCTTTCTTTTCTCCTATTAACAGCCAACTTCTCCTACTCTATAAGTACTTCTCCTGCCTCTCTCCTGCCTCTGCAACAAGATGGTGGCTATTAGCACACCTAGCAGGGATACCTGTTGTGTAACCAAGCCTACAGGGACCTTGGTGATGATCTTCTGGGTCCTGGCTATTGTCCCTAGATGCAAGTGGCCACATCTATAGTTGGTGGCAGGGTGGAGACAAACCTGTAAATGTTGAGTTTCCAGTCACTGGGCAGTGTCCCAAGATAAAATCTGCCGCAACTAAAGATGATGGTGGCAGCAGTGGGGGTAACGTAAGATGGTCACCCTAGAGTGTGGTGACCACTTTTAGAGATGAGACTGAATGCACAAGCTGAATGATTGCTTTGGGCAGACTGTTTGGAGATGCAGTGCTGGAGTGTGTGGCTTGACCCTCAGCCAGTGGGCCATCCTGTGCCTGGGCTTGGGCTCCATGCTGGTTGGTGGTGCTGTCCTTCCTGGGCCTGCCTGGTCTCTATACAAATTGATGGGACTGTCCTGGGCCTGCCTGGTTTCCACAGGGGTGGGCAAAATTGTACTAAGCCTGCTTTGGCTCAGAGGGGATCCGTGGGGCTATCTGGGCCTGACTGGGCTCCGTGGAGATGTTCTGGGCTGTCCTAGGCCCACCTGGTCTCCAAGGGGGTTGGCAAGACTGTCCTAGGCCAGCCTGGGCTTTCCTTGTTTTCCCACAGATTGACTGGACTGTCCTAGGCCTGCCTGGTCTCCTGTATTTGTTTTTAATTGCTATTATATTTGGAATTCCTTTTTAATGTTTTTATTAGTGCATTGTAGTTATATATAATAGTGGGCTTCATTTTAACATGTAAATAGAATTCTTAATTTCCATTCAGAAGTTTTATGATCTCAGAGACAGAAGTATCAATCATACTTTTTTATGTGTGTGACATAACAAAAATCAATGCAAAGACATTCTCTTATTTTGTGTTACAATATTTTTATTCTTCATGAACCTCTTATCTTCCTTTCTTACTTAGCTTCCCAAAACAGCAAAATATCAGTATACAAGATCAACATACAAAAGTTAATAACTTTCCTATATACCAATAATAAATCTGCAAGAAAGAAATCAGGAAAATGATCACATTCACAACAATCTCAAAAAGAAAAAAAGTGAAGAAAGAAATTTCATAATATATTAGAAGATGGAAAGGCCTCCTATGTCCTTGGATGGGGAAAATGTATGGTTATACTACCATTATTGTTACACAGATTCAATAAAATCCCCATCAAAATACCAATGACATTCTTCCAAGTAGAGTTTGAAAACAGTTATTGAATGAGAATTCTATAACATATATCTTTAAAAAAATGTTTTGTAGTTGGAGATGGACATGATACCTTTATTTTATTTATCTATTTTTATATAGTGCTAAGGATCCAACCCAGTGTCTCACACATGTTAGGCAAGCATTCTACCATTGAACCACAATCCCAGCCCCTATAACATCTCTTTTTTTGTTATTAGTTGTTCAAGACAATACAATGATCTTGACATATTTTACATCTATGTTAAAAATCAAGTGAATTTTTTTTTTCTATTAGGTGCAGGGTCTCTGACAACAGTAACAAAAATAATGTGAAATTTGTATGACTATATGTAATCAGTAAATATATTCCTGGAAAACATATTATTGAGAAATTCATAAGCTTTGTAACAAAAATAACAATATCAGAAATTTCAACATGTCACATAACTATATTTCAAATTAGTAAGGAAATATATCATTTAATGGGTCAAATGATGATACATCAAAATAATGACAATATTAGATTTCTGACTTACCAGTTTAACTAAAATGTACATGAGATGGTTAAATATATGAGGATTTCACTGCAAACAATGAATCTCACAGAATAGGGATAAACTATAGACAAATACTTTTAAAAAAGGTATTCTTAAGGCAGATTAAAGGCCATAGTGATGTGTAATTTTTTTTACCCAGCTGATTAGAAAACAAAAATAATCACTGAATTGGAATGACTGGGGAGACTCTTATTCACTGACATGATGGGAAATAGATTTTTTAACTCCTTAAAATATAAAATTATGACTCATACTATGAAAATTTTGTTATTAAATATATAATAATGTATTCATATCATTAATTATAAAACATATCTAATTATAAAAATATTTTATTTCAGAAATTTATAATCTATGGTAAAATTATAAACAAATCTAATGTATATAAATGTGGAATATATTCAAATAATTTGGTCTACCCTTATAATGGAATATTTGTGAGACACTAATGTTATGGTTAATAAATTACTGACATCGAAAAAGTTTATATTTGTTAGTGAAAATAACTGGTTACAAAAGAGACAACTGTTACAAAATAATTATAAAATTGTTTACCCAATTATGTAGCTAATTTTTAACAGCAATGACAATGACTTCACCCACAGCACCATAACAATGAACAGAAGGACATATACAACTGAGAATTCTGAATATGGATAAGAGAATTTGTCTGACAGGAAAAACAAACAATGTCCCATGGAGAAATGCCTTCTTTTATGTGTCTCCCTTGAGAGAGCAAAGTTCTGGACACTAAGCAACTCCATGATAATTAGAAACTTGGAAATACAGATCCCAAAGTCTTGAGAGAATCCATATCCTATATATTTTTCATTTATTCTAATCTGATTTTCTAAGGGAAAATTGCTCAAGCCATATTTTCTTTCACCTGGGTATTGGGCAGTGATATTCACTCCAGGAGAGAAACTCAGTTATGCCAGAGTCATGTCAACAGTGATATTCTCTACATGTGGATGAATGTGAAAAAGAGAGAGTGATGTCCTAGGGAATGTGAGTTACCCTCTACCTGTCTCATATCACCACATCTTTGTCCAGTAACTACTGTCATCACCAACTTAGTCAGCTATTTCTCTGACTGAGTTACTGTCTCTCCCTTCAGGAGTCTTTTTGGAGGTCTGTCCTCTGCATATTCATTAAAAATAATTGTGCTCATACCACAAGAACAATCAGAAAAAGGTGTAGGGGGGAATAAAGTTCTTGGTCTTTTTGCCAAAAGTAAAAGAATTTTCTTATAAGTAATACAGTAAAAGTTATAGACAACACTTTTATAATTTAAGGTCTTTTATTATTTTTTTTCTTGCTTTATAGCATTGGCTGGAACTTCTGGTACAGTATTTGAAGTGATGGTAACATGAATTTTTGTCTCATTCCTGATATGAAACTTTTCATATTTACACATTGAATCTGAACTTTTATTTTAGTGATTTTATAGTTCCTCTTTATTAAGTAAAGTAATTCCTCTTGTATTACTAGTTTGCATGGAATTATTTTTTTTTTTAATCATGATTGGGAATTGAACCTATGAAGTGTAGTAGCAATTATGATGTTCTTTTCTTTCTCTAATATGGCTATTGTGTTTATTAATATTTGAATATTAATTTAGTCTTGTATCCTGAAATATATTTCATTTGATTTTGATATAGTTTCTGTTTTATTAAGATGTATATTGAGTATATACATTTATATAAATGTTCATATGTATATATATTTCAGAATTGGATTTGTTCATTTGCATATGTATATATGTATTTCAAGATTTTTGGGTCTATGGAGAGGCAGCGGCCTCTGCTGCTGAGGCGGAGGCTCAAGCAGCGGCGATGGCGCCCTTCCCTGAAGAAGTGGACTTCTTCACCGTCCCGCACTGGAGGATGAAGCAGCTGGTGGGGTTCTACTGCGACAAGGGTCTTGCTAAATTGGGCTGGCCTCCAATTTGTGATCCTCCTGTTTACACCTTCCAGTTCACTGGAATTAAAGGAGTGTGCCACAACATCTGGCAGATTTCCACATTGAAAATAAATTTTGAAATAGAATTGATAACAGTGGAAGCTTTCTAAAACCAACTTTTCCAACAACAACGATTTCCGTGCTCTTCTGCAGTCTTTGTATGCTACTTTCAAGGAGTTCAAAATGCATGAACAGATTGAAAATGAATACATTATCAGTTTGCTTCAACAACGCAGCCAGACCATTTATAATGTACATTCTGACAATAAACTCTCTGAGATGTTTAGCCTCTTTGAAAAGGGATTTAAGAATGTTAAGAATGAATATGAGCAGTTAAATTATGCAAAACAGCTGAAAGAGCGATTGGAGGCTTTTACAAGAGATTTCCTTCCTCACATGAAAGAGGAGGAAGAGGTTTTTCAGCCCATGTTAATGGAATATTTCACCTATGAGGAACTTAAGGACATTAAAAAGAAAGTGATTGCACAGCATTGCTCTCAGAAGGATACCGCTGAACTCCTTAGAGGGCTTAGCCTATGGAATCAAGCTGAAGAGCGACAGAAGTTTTTCAAATATTCTGTGGATGAAAAGTCAGACATAGAAGCAGAAGTGTCACAGCACTCCACGGGTATAACCCATCTTCCTCCTGAGGTAATGCTGTCAATTTTCAGTTATCTTAATCCTCAAGAATTATGTTGATGCAGTCAAGTCAGCACTAAATGGTCTCAACTGGCAAAAACGGGATCACTTTGGAAACATCTTAACCCTGTTCATTGGGCCAGAGGTGACTGGTATAGTGGTCCTGCTACTGAACTTGATACTGAGCCTGATGAGGAATGGGTGAAAAGTAGGAAAGATGAAAGTCGTGCTTTTCAGGAGTGGGATGAAGATGCTGATATAGATGAATCTGAAGAGTCTGCAGAAGAATTGATTGCTATCAGCATTGCACAGATGGAAAAACGTTTACTCCATGGCTTGATTCATAATGTTCTTCCATATGTTGGTACTTCCGTAAAAACTTTAGTATTAGCATACAGTTCTGCAGTTTCCAGCAAAATGGTTAGGCAGATTTTAGAACTTTGTCCTAACGTGGAGCATCTGGATCTTACCCAAACTGACATTTCAGATTCTGCATTTGACAGTTGGTCTTGGCTTGATTGTTGCCAGAGTCTTAGGCATCTTGATCTGTCTGGATGTGAGAAAATCACAGATGTGGCTCTAGAGAAGATTTCCAGAGCTCTTGAAATTCTGACATCTCATCAAAGTGGCTTTTTAAAAACTTCTGCAAGCAAAATTACTTCGACTACATGGAAAAATAAAGACATAACCATGCAGTCCACCAAGCGGTATGCCTGTTTGCAAAGTTTAACTGACAAAGGCATTGGAGAAGAAATAGATAACGAACACACCTGGACTAAGTCTGTTTCTTCTGAAAGTTTATCTTCTCCTTATGTGTGGATGTTAGATGCTGAAGATTTGGCCGATATTGAAGATGCTGTAGAATGGAGACATAGAAATGTTGAAAGTCTCTGTGTAATGGAAACAGCATCCAACTTTGGTTGTTCTTCAACTGCTTGTTATAGTAAGGATATTGTTGGACTAAGGAATAGTGTCTGTTGGCAGCAGCATTGTGCTTCTCCAGCTTTTGCGTATTGTGGTCATTCATTCTGTTGCACAGGGACAGCCCTAAGAACTATGTCAGCACTCCCAGAGTCTTCTGCAATGTGTAGAAAATCATCAAGGACTACATTGCCTAGGGGAAAGGACATAATTTACCTTGGGAGTGAAAAACCTGATCAAGAGACTGGCCGTGTACTTTTGTTTCTCAGTCTTTCTGGATGTTATCAGATATCACAGACCATGGTCTCAGGGTTTTGACTCTGGGAGGAGGGCTGCCTTACTTGGAGCACCTTAATCTCTCTGGCTGTCTTACTGTAACTGTTGCAGGCCTTCAGGATTTGGTCTCAGCATGTCCTTCTCTAAATGATGAATACTTTTACTACTGTGACAACATTAACGGTCCTCATGCTGATATCGCCATTGGATGCCAGAACTTGCAGTGTGGTTTTCGAGCCTGCTGCTGCTCTGGCGAATGACCCTTGACTTCTGACCTTTGTCTACTTCATTTAGCTGAGCAGGCTTCCTTTCATGCACTTTACTTATAGCACATTTATTATGTTAACCATCCCTTTTGATTGTGTCTTGTTTTGGCCCCGTTTATCACAACTTCAGAAATCTTAATTTACCAGTGAATTGTACAGTGTTTCTCTTGCAAAATACATTTTTGTTTTAGAAAGGGGTTAGGTTTTTTCATAAGGGTTAGAGCAGTCTTATTTGATTTCTTTTAAGTTGAATGCTTTGAAAAGAATGTCACTAATGCTATGCCATTTAAAGTATTTTTTAGGTTATTTTGAGTTTTAAAGTCACTGGGGTTATCGCTTCATAGAAACACTGTACTAAGCTCTGCATATCTTTTCAGATACACATTTCTGAAATTTTATTTTCAAAGACCACACTTTTTGGAAATGAATCTCTCTTCTGTAACATTTTTGTTTATTTGAACAATTATCCAAGGGCCAATTCAAACATACCCACATAGGAGATTCTTTAAGGTTGTAGAATAAATTGGCTTTTTGGTGTTAGCTCAGTGAGCTAGAAGAGCACCAGTCTATTTGTATTTGCTTTCTTGCAAGACCCCTGGTTCCTACTGCTGCCCATATATTGTCAAATTTGGGAGGGATTTTTAAAAATTCCACAATCGTTTAAAGAAATGTATAAATAAAATCTACTTTGAGGATTTTACCAAGTTAAAAAAAAAGATTTTTGCATTTATATTCATGAATCAGAATAACCTGCAATTTTCCTTCCTAGTACATTCTTTCTCAAGTGTTAGTCAAAGTTATTCTTTCCTTGTAGAGGAAATGGAGAAGGGCTACCTTTTTCTTTCTTTGAAGGAATTTGTAGAGATTGTGATAGTTTCTTCCCTATTTATTAGAATTCACCAGCAAAATCTGGACTTGGTGTTTCCTTTTTGGAAAGATTTTAAATAACAACTTCAGCTTTCCATACAGATTATCAAACTATTCAAATGTTTCTTTTACCTAGAGATTTGTTTAATTATTTTTGGATTGAGATAATTCACAAAATTTCACCTAAACTGTTAAATTCATTGGTAAAAATTTCTTGTAATTATACCTTTTAATTTTTGACACTGATAGTGTATATAATATTACTTTTTAATTTGGCAATGTTCATCTTGCTGAGTTTATCACTTTCAAATAATTGTTTTAGCTGTGTTGAATTTTTTCTATTGCACTTTTATGTTTATTTTTAGTATTCACTCATTCATTTATTTAGCTTCTTGAAATAAAATATAGACTTTTAAATTTTATTTCATTTTTAATTAGTGCATGATAATTGTTTGTGTTTATGGGTACACTCTGATATTTTGATATATGTATACATTGTATAATTATCAAATCAGAATAATTAGCATATCATTCACCTCAAATGTATATATTTTTTAATCTGATAATTTTATAAACTTTATTTGCTCAAATTATACAATACAGTATATTTTGATACATTTATACAAACATGGAGTATCTCTTATTTTAATTAGGATTCCAGTCTTGTGGATGCACAGAATGGGGAGATTCACTGACTGTATTCATATTTGTATATAGGAATGTTATGTCAGATTCATTCTACTGCCTTCCCTTCATTCTGCTTTATCTAATGCACTAAACTTTTATTTTCTCCTCTTGTTGTCTGTTAGCATCCATATTAAAAAGATATATATCAAATGTATATCTTTTTATTATTATTTTCTAATTCCATCATAGTCAAAGTACACTGTTTGAATGGTATAATCTTTTCAAGCTTTTTTGTTTTTGTTTTTGTGTTTTTGCTTGCTTGCTTTTTGAAAGACTCCATTTTATTATTTTTATTTTAATCCTTATTCTGATTGATGATGATCAAGGGAAGGGGCTTGCCAGTTTTTCCACTAACACAGATGAAAATATTAGCATTCTTGAATCAGTTTTCGCTAAGTCATCTGCATATTGTTTAAACAGTGAGGTTGGAAGACTTCTTTGTTTCTGATCAGACAACGTTAATGTGTGGCCCTTCTAATCTGAAATTTCTTAAGTATTTCTTCATTTAGAGAAAAAGCCAAGGATTAAGGCGAGGAAGGGCATTGATTGCAGGCAGAGCTCAGCCTTTCATCATTCTTTCATCAGAGGTTTGGCTCTGGTCAGGTAGGCATTCGAATCTAAGCCAATTTTCCCTTGGAAGCAGGTGGTTTCCAAGTCTACTCAGCACTTCAAAGAAGTGGCTTCCAAGGAAATGCAGCGGTCTCCCTGGGAGGAATTTCAGCAAAGTCAGTGTCTTTTTTACATTTCAGTGATATTTTATTACTTTATCAAAACGTGCAATAGATCTATCCAGGTGCTGAACTAAAATGCTTGCTCCCTGCACCAGAATTCCAGGCGAGGGCTGCAGACTGGTTTTCCAAGCTCCAGGGTCATTATTAACAGCTCCCCAAAGGTGGGGCCTTTGTCCCCTCCTCGAGGGCCTGGGCCTGCACAGGGCTCACAGCCTCTCCACCATGGGCTCCATCAGGACACTCTAATCCACAGCACCCTGCTTCCTTTGTCCCAAAGAATGCGGCCCCCAGCTTGGCGTCCACCCCACCATCTGCGCAGCCTGCACCACCAGGACGCCCCCGCCCCCGCTGCCCTCCTCACTGAAGGGCGCCCTTGGGACCGCTGGAAGTGACCTCTTTTCAATTTTTTGAAGATTTTTCTTTTTTAAGACAGCCTATGTTTGTTATTGTTCAATGTGTGCTTGACAATCATGTGAATTCTTTTCTTGTTGAATTCATTGTTCTACATGTGTTCATCAAACATGTAAATTCTGTTGTTCAGATTTTTACATCCTTACTGGCTTTTTGGCTGGTTCTTCAAGTATAGAGATATGGTAAAACTTCTTATTATGATTGTGGATTGGACTTGTTCTTTTGTTGTTGTTGTTAAATTTGAACAATCAATTTCTTAGTTCCAGAGTTTCTTTTTCCTGCGAGTCAGGAGTGATTATTTTCTTTTACAAATGGCAGTTTCCTTTGGTGTTGTATTTTCCATGCCTTTTCTCTCCATTTCCCTCTGTGTTTAGGCCATTCCTTGTCTTATTCTTGCCAGTTCCTCTCCACCCCCAACAGAACTTTCCATTAATTGTGGGGCTCTTTCCTTCTAGGTTAAAATATTGGAGACATTTTCAAAGTTTTTCTACTGTTAGTACCTCTCACTATTTTGAGGTTTCCTCTACTACACCCATGACCTAATTGCCATGCTGCAAACTTATGGATAATGATGCAAATTCTGCTGTTTATCCCCCTCTACTTAGACAATATTAGAATTTTGTGGGCTTTAATGTCTCTTAGTTTCACTGAAGGTTTAGGTTGTCAGGAAGGATGTGTCTATCTCCTGTGAAATTTTTGCACCTTAGAAGTAGAGAAATTCCTATTAAATTACATCTATATTACTGCTAGAACCTACAATCACAAATTGAATAGCTATTTCCTTTGTATGTTTAAAACTTATCCAAACTCTAATTCTAATGCTATACATGAGATTATAGTCAGGTCCTATACATATGTAAAAAAGTTCCCTTTATCCATACCTGATCTATTCATAATATGATGCTTTTATTATTCTAAAGTCATTTTATGGATGTACTAGGTATGTTGACCTTTTTAATTTTGTTGTATGTAAACCAGCTTTACAATTTTTTTCAAGTGCTGGGGATGAAAACTAGGATCTCTAGCATGCTAGGCAAGTGCTCTACCACTGAGCTACATCCCATCCCTTTGCTATTCTTAAACATTACTGATACTGTAGTTCACCCCTAGATTAATCCAAATAGTAAACTTGCTTAACTTATGCCACACAGTTTAAAATTAAGCATTAGAAAAAAATAGCTAAATATTATTTCATTTGCTCCCCAGAGTGAGGGAGAATGTCTCTACAGTGGATGAGTTTCTTTTACTCAGCCTGACCAGTGTTCAGGAGCTTCAGCCAGTCTTCTTTGTGATGTTCTTAATTATTTACCTGATCAACTTAGTTGGAAATGGAGCAATATTAATGATTGTAATTTTGGAAACCAAATTCCATCCCCTATGTATTTCTTTTTGGGAAACCTTTCTTGTCTGGATATTTGTTATTCTTCGGTGACACTGCCCAAGGTGCTTATGAACCTGCTGTCCACTCGCAGGGCCATATCTTTCCTAGGCTGTATCACTCAGATACACTTCTTCCACTTTCTGGGAAGTACTGAGGCCATCTTGCTGGCACTGATGGCCTTTGTCCGTTTTGTGGCCATCTGCAACCCACTTTGTTACACTGTCATCATGAACCCGCAGCTGTGTGTCCTGTTGGCAGCTGTGGCCTAGCTCATTAGCTTCTTCTATGCTCTGATGCATTCTGTCATGACTGCATGCCTGGACTTTTGCCATTCTCTGAAACTTAACCACTTCTTCTGTCATGTGAAACCCCTCCTAGAACTGGCCTTCAGTAACACAGAACTCAACCAGTGGATTTATTCTGTTGTCACAGGGAGCATATCCATGGGAGCTTTCTTCCTCACTCTCCTCTCCTAGTTCTACATTATTGGCTTCCTTGTGTTGAAGAGCAGGTCCTGCAGGATACTCCATAAGGCTCTGTCCACTTGTGCCTCCCATTTTATGGTGGTGTGTCTCTTTTATGGACCTGTGGGTTTTACATATATTCATCCTGCTTCAGCCACATCCATGGGTGAGGACCAGACAGTGGCTGTCATATACAGTGCAGTCACCCCAGTGCTGAATCCACTGATATACACCCTTAGGAATAAAGAAGTGATGTTGGCTCTGAAGAAAATCTTTGGGAGGAAGCTCTTTAAAGATTGCCATTAGCACCTAGGGGACTAATGAGACTTATATCTGTTTTACATTAAGACTTTCATGACTTTACTGTAATGAATGATTGTTTATTTGATTTCTGTTTTTCTCTCAGGAATTTTGAGCATGTATTATATCATGCAGTGTAGTAAGTTCAACAAACATAGGA